TGTGCGGCGACGACGACCGTGACCTATCAGCTACCTCTTCCTCCATACACCTCTTATTCCGTTAATTATGAGTTGAATTATTATAATAATTGTTATATTTATTTARTCTGTTTGGTTATATGTTCTCTATGTGAAATTACTGGTCAGCTTTTGCCTATTAATATAAAGATTAATGAATAAATATTATTAAACATTTTTTTTTCTTTGTTTTTCGTTATGCGGTCGATCCTATAGTACTTCCCGTTTTTTTGTCTTTTTGTTTTTCGTAACACTCAAACGATCAAGATCAGTACACATTTTTGTCGTTGTGTCTCATTGTCATTGTGACGCGAAAACAATTTTTGTTCTTGTTTTTAAATATATTATTAGTTACACGAGACTACGAGAGAGTTTATAAAACTTTAAACTACTACTTCGTAAACTGTTGCGTGAGTCTATTATTATTAATATTCTTCTGTTCACAAATGTGTGACTGAGAACCTTTCGTTCATTGTGCATCAACGCACTTAATACTTTCCGATGCAGTTTTGTTCCGCGTAGTCCGCCAGCACCAGTGGCGCACCCAAGTGGGRGGAGGGCTTTGGGGCTTTTTCATTAAATTATACGTTATTATAGCAAATATAATGGTATAATAATGAATAATGATAAATAATAATGTTATATTTTCAAATTKTATTATGTTACATACACACATATTTAATAATAGTTCAATCAAGATCAGAACACATTTTTGTCGTTGCGTCTCATTGTCACATTGTACACATGCGGGTATTACGTCCTCTTAAAAAGGCTTAATTCACAACTTCGGATATCAACAACWAGACATCAGCCTTACTCATTAAATAATTAAGTTTACAAYTGTTGTACAAGAGTACAACAGTATAGGTATAGTTTAGTAGGATCCATTTATCTCCGTTATTTTTTATTGATTTACCCCATGAAATTTAAATACAAGAGTATTATCGAGAGACTTSATTATGTATGTCAAAATAAGTTACGAGCATTTTAAAATTGTAAATTTCTATAAAAATGTATATAAAAACAACTATAGTAATTACAAGGCGTAATGGATAGGCCATTCCAGTACACCATKTTTGTGACTACTGTTTGAAAGTAGGTGTCTCATGACAAGTGCGATGTTTATCGTTTTCGCATCGTTAATACCTACATTAGGTAAAAAATTGGTTCGTTCCGCGGTAGTCACCAAGTAATTAAGAAAATATTAGCATAAAATACTGTATACGTCCATGATGAAGACTGTGGAATTCAATATTTAAGACAACGAAACATGATGTAATTAGTCACATCCAGTATYTTTATGGAAATGTTTTTATTTAAGATAAAAATTTATAACGTTTTAGCTTTAATATAAAACGCATGCTTGAATACCTAATTATTAAGAATTGTACATACTAAAATAAATCATTAAGTCATTAAAATACATACTATGACAAATTTATTATGTTTTGATATTAAATATTATCTTTAATAAATGGTACTATACTAACTTAAAACTTGTTCTTAACATCTGATATTAGTGCGGCATTGCATTCAAAGCATATTATTTATTGTACATTAAGAGGACGCTACACCCGCATTTGTTGTCTTCGTCTCACAAGTGCATAACATTACAAAAACTGTTTCGCGCGGGAAAGAACCGAGAAAGATACAGTTATAACTAAGAAACGAAATTTTCACCAAATAAAAAGGAGAATTTTGTCTGTGCAATATCGTTTTTATTTTTTCGATAT